TTGAATTACAATTGATAATTTTAATTAATTCAATTGATAGTGGCGCTAACAGTACTGCTATAATTACCACACTATTTGAAAACTGCATCGGGTCAATAAAAGCAGCTAAGATTGGGCAATATAATTAACATAAAAAATGGGAGACATAACTAATGGATAAAATATATGGTTAAAATATTTCCAGATCAATCTTTTGACACGTGTTTGGCTCTCTTGCATAGGTGTCCTTATTTTAAAACTGAAAGCTCATCAGTGTAATTTTCCTTTTGCTGATTTTTTTTAGTCAAATATACTACTCTGAAGTGTGCATATTGATTATTTTCTTTAGGATTATGGTCTATTGGCTTTTCTATTTTCTACAATTCTAAAATATCTGGTATTTGTGAATCTGTAGGTATAATTCAGGGGAAAAAAAGGGTCATTCAGGCTAGAAAAGACAAACTTTTCCTATTTTCTGAGAGCTCAGCAGATTGTTGCATGCTCCTAGAATCAGACTAGTGGTTACATAAGCAGATGCTTAGAAATGAAGCTATTTGGAAATTATGGAGTATTCACACTCTGAAGGACTGTAGGGTCTAATCATTCCCTATTGACTTTTGCAGGATGACAATGCCCCCAATTTTTTTCCTCTTTGTACTTACTTGTAGTAAGTTCTTATTTCTGATTATTTTTACAGACATTGATCATTGACTAATTTATGCACAGTGAAAATTCCAAATTAAGGCCTTGGTATTAATGCAATCCATTAAGTGGGACTGCAGGCAGGTGTGATCTCCAGCTGTAGTTAGTGAGCTCTCCTTAAAGGACTGGGACACTTGTGGCCCAAAATGAAATGAATGAATTCATAAAATGACTGACTGACTGACTGAGTGATCAGGACTTAAAATTACAACCTTTTCCACAGAGATTTAGTGAACTGTTAGCTTAAAAAGCCCTTATGAACAACAGGACGTATATTGCCTTTACTTTGCCCAGAAAAGGCAATGAAAGTTTGTACAGAAATTGAGAGCAGGCTATTACTAGTGCTTTCTATTTCTAATCCCTTCTCCATAGCCACATGCACGAACATGTTTAGAGCAAAAGTATTTTGGAAACAATTTCAATTTCGATTCTGTTTAAAAGTCACTAGGCTCAAAATTGGTTTTGTCATTGCCTAAGTAACAAAACTAAGGCCCTGATTTTGCAGATACCTGTTACAGGCAGGTAATTCACAAATCACCCAATTAAAACCACAGAGACTTTATAGGCTCAGCTTTACCACACATGGACCTGTGTCAACAAAATCAATAATAGATTAGCACTAATAAATATGAAAATCTTAAGAAAATAAAATGTAGATTTTCAATAGAGCTGCTTTGATGAGCTCTCTTATTTCCAGTTGTGTCATACGCAGAAAAACAATTTCTCTCTCAATTATATGTACTATTGTTGTTTCTGAGAGAAGCTGGTTCTGGACAATATGTATTAGTTACTTAAAAACTTTCTAATAACCACTAGTATAGTCATATTTACTTTAAAAACAATGTGGCTAGTGAGCTCTACACAACCCCTAATCTAACATTAAAAAAAATCCTATAATGCAGTGAAAGTGAAACTAAAATTGTGATCACGTTTTAGAATGAAATAAAAATTTAACTCTCAAAATATGACTCTGGCTGAGACTAAGTCTTGCAACCTTTACAGGTTGAGAAGAAAATTTACACATAGGTAACATGGGGTTTTAAAAGAGTCCAACAGAAAATAATTATAAACACAAGGAAGACAAAACAATGGTATTTTAGTTTTATTATGAAACAAATCTTGCTAAATTTTGTGATGAAAACATAAAAAGCCTCAGCTGAAAACGGTGCTACACCATGTTAGCTTGAGGGCATTTCTCCTCCACCGTCTCTTTTGGGGCTGGCACAATCTTTCCTCAATATCTGTGGGGGAACTCACTACTGCATCTATTACAAGGCCTGAATTAAGGATCTCTTCTTCAGTTACACTTTTCTAAATTATACTTCTTGCACAGCATTCACATATGTTCACCAAACCTCAGCCTGCACAGTAGGTATAGTAAATATTAAACTAAGCAATATGTCTGTATAAAAAAACCCAAAACTTAAAATCCCTCTACCCAGGGGTATATCAAAAGTAAGTCTGTTCAGAGTAAAAGCAGTGACTTTAACAATCTCACGCTGGCAGTCAGTAGAATTACAGCGACACTAAAACTGAAACACGTCCATTTGTCTGTGATGATTAAAAATGATACACACGGCATGACGAGAAGTAACCGTCCACTTAAGTACGGGGGCTTCAGACTCCTGGATCAATGAAACAGGATGAGGGGTGGTTTTCTGCGCTGGCCTAAAGTTAGGCAGGAGGCAGGGCAGCACCTTACCGATGAACTATGTGGAAACTTAGGATGCTATGAAAATCATCGCATAGCTTTCGATGAAGCCGCTTGTAGCCTGTGAAACCTCATGCCTCTCTGAACGAGTTAGTCTACAAGTTGTTACCCTGCCTTCCTCGCTGTCTGCCCTAGGATATAATTATCCCCAACTATTTACAGGCTTCAGGCA